GTTAATTTATGATGTTGTAACACGTTGGAATAGTACGTATTATATGATAGAAAGATTAATCGAAGAAAAAGACCCTATAACAGCATGTCTTCAAGAAAAAGAATTTCAAAAAAAACTAATTAAAGCTAATGTACCAACGAGCATTGAATGGGATTTGCAAGTGCAACTAAAGGTAAAAATTAGAAGTGCTTGATAGCAGAGCTTCTTATAAATGAATCATGTTTTTTCTCCTATTTAGAGTACGTTAAAACCATTTGAAACAGCTACACGCCAATTAGCACTAGCATCTTTACCAACAATTTCTAAAGTATTACCAGTTGTTACTGGTTTATTAACCAGTTTAGAACCATCATCATTTGATCCACAAACTATTCAAAAATTAAAAGATACATTGAGAAGTGCTTTAAAATCACGTTTAAAAAAAGTTTTACTGGTGATGAGTGTGGCGAAGCGACTTTAGAAAAATGAATAGTAGCTAAAATCAGTAGCTCATACTTGTGGATATGCTATTATAATAAGTGGACGTCTGTCTCAGAATACTGGCATGTTTCGAATCTTTAGTAACCGTTATATCTTTTTCCAATACAACTTTCAGATTTGTTTTTATTTCCATTGAATTTATAATCGTGTTTTACTGTCAAAATAATCTATTTGTTTAACATTTATCATCTTGTCATTCAACAGAAATTGTATTTTGAAATGCTGGTATAAATTAATTTCTATTTGTGTTAAATCATAGCCATAAACTTCAGAGCAAAGAAAAAAAACACATGTAGTACTTGACACGCTTGCATGTTCATTGTCCGGTCAGCTCTGGTCACACACAAGAAGGGTTTATCGAATTAATTTACGTCCTTGATGAAAGATCTCAAGGGTTGAAAGAAGCGGAGAATGAAGAGAGGAGGACAGTTATTTGAAAAAGTTTATAAGAAAAATTTATTCAAATCAACTTTTGAAATCCATTTCTATCTTAAAAATCTAGTTTTTGTAAAGAATTAATTTAAATTTTTTTCTCCAAATAAAAATAAAATGTATTTAAATAGATTTTTCGCGCGTAAAGTTATAGTCACTGATGTCACCATTATTTTTTCCTAGCGTTTTTCCTTTTACAGTCTAGTTTTTTCCTATTGGTCAAAAACAGACTCTAATGAAAAGGATTTTCTCGTAGTTTTTCAAACGGCATTTTGAATGTTGCTATTAACACTATAACTGTTTCTTT